TCCTGCTCGCGCCTCAGCTCTTGCTCCAAGCGCTGCTCCTCGCGCCTCAGCTGCTGCTCGCGTCTCTGCTCCTGCTCGCGTCTCAGCTCCTGCTGCAAGCGCGGCTCCTCGCGCCTCTGCCTTTGCAATTGCTCCTCTTGCTGGAGCTCCTCTCGTTGCTCTTGGCGCTCTATCCTTTGCAGCTGCTCTTCCTCCTGGAGCTGGTGCTGCTCCCGCCTCTCTCGCCTTCGCTCTTCGTCAGGAAATTTCTCTGGCTCCCGACCTTTGCGCCTCTGCAGATACTCTTCCTCCTCAAGGCGCTCTTCCGGTTCTCGCCTCTGCGGCCGCTGCTTCTCTTCCTCAGCGAGCTCCCTCTCCAGTTCTTGCCTCTTCTGCCTGCGTTCTTCCAATTGTCTGTCCTGGGGCTCAAATCTCCTTTGGTCTTCTTGCCTGGCATCTTGTAATGGGTTCTCCTTTCCCTCACATTTGGCCCCCTTCTCATCTAGCCCAGAAGCCTGGCTGAGAGCGTAATAACAAGCTTGAGCCACCTTGAAAACGAACAGGAGGAATTCATTGAAATCGACAAGCCCATTACAGTCGCGATCCAGAAGTTCCAGGATCAGATCTACTGTCTCAGGATCATGTGGTCTCTATTAAAAAAAAAAGAAAAGAAAAGAAAACAAAAATTTTACAATGTACTATTTACAGTAGTAAACTTTAATACACACAGTGAGTATTTTGTAATATGTCGACACTCAGAAGACATTAAGAGCAATTAGAAAAACATCCAGTGTGTATCAAGTCTTGTCCCTATGTAAAATGTGAACACTTCATTTTAAAACATACATTTGTTGAAAATTTTTGTAACTTGTAATTTAATGATCAAAAGAATCCATGTTCTCTTGAGCTGGGTGAATAAGAATGAACTCATGCTCAAGAGAGAAATACAATGAAAATTTATGAAATTTTACAGCAGTCATTTCTGTCTGAAATAGCCAGTACCCCTGTTCGATTTTTATCCCATGTTTGAAAACAGAACAAGACATTTATGTTAACACCATTTTACTAGAGAACAGGCTGATTTTAATTATTAAAATTTGGAAATAAATTTAAGTTCCTTCCAAGTTTAGTTTGATCTAACATGTTTGGTGATAACTTCCCATGAACAGTTCATTCACAATGATATTGCCATCAAGTACATGAAATAGTTGTTAGCAACTTCCTTAGTTCTCGGACTACAATGCCAGCTAAGTACTCAAAAATGAATGGAGGTGGGGGCGCCTAAGTGGCTGGACACTTGGTTTCTGCTCTGGTCATGATCTGAGGGTTGGGGGTTTGAGCCGAAGGGGGCTCCGCACTCAGCATGAGTCTGCTTGTCCCTCTCCCTCCCCCCACACTTGAGTGCATGCAGTCTTTCTCTCCTATAAATAAATAAAATCTTAAAAAGAAACGAATAGGGAATGTAGTGTAGAGCTGTGATGGTACAAAATGGATATAAGTCACCATTCTTTGCTATGATCTCTCCTGAGAAGAAATTTTATAACCCTAAATCAATAGATTTTCTTTTGTTCTTACCCGAAGGACATCTCCAAATTCCCTTTCAAGGAGGTTCTTCAGGTCTTTCTTGCTTAGTGCTGCCCCATCACAATCATATGAGGCATATTGATTGAACATTTCAGTGATATTGAAGATGCTTCTCAGAAGTGGAGACATTTTTTTTTCCTTCCTTCAAGTTCAAGTAAATCTAGAAGAATAAAGTAGGATTCAGAATCACAACTCTGTTTCTGATCTAGGGGAGGCTTCATCCACACTGTTTCAGTCAGAACAAAATTTACACAAACAATGAATCATGGAACACTTCATCTAAAACTAATGATGTAATGTATGGGGATTAACATAAGAATAAAAAAAATTTACAACAGTAGTTAATTTCAACCTGAGCTTTCAAAACTTTTTATCTTTAAATATTGTACTTAGAAAGGGGAAGACAGATTTTGAGAAATTTCAAGCCAGGAATTATTTTCAGACTATCTTGTAGTCAGCTTTTGATTGTCCACTCAATCTGGATTATCCATATCCTTTCCTTCTCTCTCTTCCTGCTCCCTAGCATAGGTCAGATCAGATAGTGAAGAGTGTAGAAATTTACATTTGATATGTTGTTACTCATAAGTATCTTCCTCTAAAGTTGAATAAAGAGAATAGGTGAAAGCCAAAAGGTAAAGGCAGATTGAAAAGTATCTTAAAGTGGATAGAAGCCGTGTAGATCTAATTGTGGCAGCAAAACATTTGGTGGTAACCAGAAAAATAAAAAGGGAATGTGGATTATTTTCCAACCTTATAGTACATGCATCTATGAGGATAATTCATAAGCCACCAGTTCTAAGAGTAAGCACCACTTCTTCCTAGTCAAAGATGGCATTATAATATTCAGATATAACTATGCAGAAAACAGCGTATATGTTATCTGCATTAACCCAGATATGTTGCAAATACTCAGTTATTGGCTGGCTTCTTTAATTACTTCTCAACTCCAATACCTCAGATGTCATAACTACATGAAGATGGCCCATATTGAGTAGAACCAATATAGAAAGAGTACTGAGGGTTGACGATCTTTTGAGATGGCAGTTTTTAGGAAGAAGAACCCCATCAGAGTTACACATGACATCCTCCAACCCCTGATATGCAAACAAACTTATAGAATTCAAAGCCTTGGGAGAAGAGCCATGTTCCCATTTGAGTGATGGCTTCAGCTATAAGATGGCATGGAGTTAGTGGGAGTTTGACATCACTGTAAGATACTGATCCTTTCTGGCACACAGACCCTCCTCTCCCCCACCAAACATCTACTATAGCTGGAAATGAATCATACAGAAGAACATGATCCCACTGACTGGGACTTACCCACTTCACCAAAGGAAGTTGAGCCCTCGCTGACACTGCTGGCAAGTGTACTGGACAGTTGGGAGGCTGGGCCTTTTATAGGGGATTTAATTGTGCCCTGAAGAGCAACTTGGGAAGGAGACACCCACTCTGTGGGATGGCCTGATTCATTCCTAACCAAGCCCAGCTCCACCTCTGTCTCCACGAAGGACTTGTTTATCTCACTATTTGCTCACGTAGTTATTTGGCACGAGGTTCACAGACCTTGCTTTCTGACAGTTAAGGTACTAGTCCTACCTAACATGAATGGATAGACTATTTGACAGAATCTGTAATTTTCTTAAAGTGCTAAAATTAAGTAAAATAATGAAATAAAGAAATTAGTATTCAGAATCTTAATTATGACTTCATAAAAAAATAGTAATCTCTAAGCCATTTACAGAGTGGGGTTGAACAGAAACTTTAGCATCAACTGATGAGAACAAATTAATATAGCAATTCTAGGATGATGAGAAGGTGTAAGGAATTGTTTTCAGTTTTTTCTCTAAAAATGCAGGTGGGAAAAAGTTTGCATTTATATTTTTGGGTCTAATGATGATTTTCCTACAGATTGGGGATTACCTCCATGGTAAGCAATTTTGGCACCTTAAAAATATGTTTTCATTAATTGTTCATAAGAGAACATGAAATCTATAAAATTTCATTCTTAGGATATTACATCTAAATGAAGTTTGCTCATTTCTTTTCTCGTTAGCATATCAATGCCCCTGGAGAAAAAGAGCTGGTGTAATGCATTATTGTAGATACAATCATCCTACTCAGCCTAAGTTACTAATGATTATGACACCTAAACACTTGGGTCTGCTTCTCCTGGAAGCACATTAAGGTAATCGGTCATTCTAGCCCATTATATCTGTCAGGGCTTTCTCAACCCTGGCGATCATTTGCAAATCTCAGCGTTGTTTTATTGTAAGGAACTGGATTTTATCCCTGGTGTCAGTGACTTCCACCCTTACATTTCAGACTATATGAAACTTTGGTTCACAATAGGTTTATGGAGACTATTAAATGATTCAATGGCTTTCAGCATTTCTATCCCTCCTTTGTCCAACACATCCAACTATTGGTTTTCTGAATTTTGAGGAGACTCTGTAGGGCCCTTTAATAGAATGTGAAGATTTAGAACCTAAATCTTGATGGTTAGTACATTATGTGCAGATTGGTCCAAATGATAATAGAGTTGACTTCTGTTTCTCCCCTCACTTGCTGCTACTCCAGAGGTGGGTGAAGAGGAAAGTGGAAGTGATAAGTTGTGAGAAGACAATTGTAAGCCTGGCTCATTCCTGCATCCTTAAGGACTTTAGCACTGAAGCCTATGATCTGGGGATTTTCCTAGAACTGTCACTGTTTCTTGGGATCAGGTAGCAAACTTAATGTAATAAAGTACTTAGTGAAGAGTGAACATTTTTCTTTTTACCTTTCTATTTAGGGGTTTATATGGTTCTCTTAATCTCTGGATTCTAGGATAGAACCATCATGATAGAACCATCACGAGCACTGTGTACAGTGTAACCACAGATAATCTCAGAATCTCTATTTCTCACAGAGGGATAGCCTTATTTATGGGTGTCCTTCAAGGAATTCCCTGGACAAACCTTGCTTTATGTTTGATTCTGTTGTCATCCACCAGTATGTGATCTGTTGGGAACCTCAGCCCAGGTGGTGGGATGCATTTGTCTGATTCCATTATCTTCCTGTAGTCAATACACTCAAAAGGAGGCTGGACAGAAATTAGGTTCTATGAGAATAAAGGGAAAGTATTAATTATTCTAAAATCATGGTCGAGCAAGCAAAATAATACAGAGGCAAACTTCCCCCCCAAATTGCTTCTGAATAGCCTTGAGAAAATGGCTGAAATAGCTTTCATAGTAACAGAAAAACTCCTTCTCCATTGTGAATGAAGCTTGATCTTTAATCCAGTGATGTCTCTCTTACCCACTGTTGTTTAAAGTCAGCACAACATAAGGCAAAATATTTAGAAACCTGAAAAACCTAAGAGAATTAGCTTATCTTTCTTGCTGCACTTTGTCCATCCTCAGAAAGGTTATATGTAGATTCAAATGCTAAATTCTAAAATCAGGTTTGATATTATCCTAATGAAGTGGCCCTCATTACTATATAATGTTCTTTTATTTAACACAGTATTGTTATTTTAAATTTCTGTTTAAAAAGAAGCTTCTGACATAATGTTTGGATAGGGAAATAATTTTTATTGTTTTCTAGTTCCTTAAAAGTTTGGTAAATGCCAAAGAATGTAGAAAATTATCAAGACCTAACATATTGGTTCAGTCTTTTTTTTTTTTTAAAGATTTTATTTATTTATTTGACAGAGAGAGACACAGCGAGAGAGGGAACACAAGCAGGGGGAGTGGGAGAGGGAGAAGCAGGCTTCCCGCTGAGCAGGGAGCCTGATGTGAGGCTTGATCCCAGGACCCTGGGATGATGACCTGAGCTGAAGGCAGACGCTTAACGACTGAGCCACCCAGGCGCCCCTGAATCAGGTTTTAAGAAGTAGAAACCCGTAAAGCCTGCTGACATATTGGATATAGAAGACAAGGAAGAGGAAGGAATCAGGAGGAGATTTGGGTTTGTCTGGAGCCTCTGGACAGATAGATAGCAGGGAGAGGGACACGAGAGGAAGACATCAATTTTGAGCATGTTGAGTGCCTGTGAGACACCGATAAGAAGGCCCAAGAGGCAATAGGACACATAGGTCTGGAAGCCAGGAGTAAAGTCTGGGCTGGAGACAGGGATTTGGAAACCATTAGCAGGAATGAGATGGTTGTAGCCTCAAGAAGAGATGAAATTGAGTGAGCTGTGTGTGTGTGTTGGGTGAGGGGGGCACAGTGGTTCTCACCTGGGCTGTGCATTAGAATCACGGATGGGGTGGGGGGACTCTAACAATCCAGATAGCTTGGGTCACATCACAGTAACATTAGAAATTCTGGAAATGGGATCTAGGTGCCCCCCACCCTCTTTTTAGCACTTGCTGGATGATGAAGTGGCAGCCATGGTAGAGAAGCACTTGGCATACAGAAAGAGAAATGGGAGGAGACAGAAGGGGAGGACCAGTTTGTGAAGGAGCCTAAGTTTCCTGAGGAGAAGGAGAGCCTGGAGAGAAGGGGTCATGGGTGCTAAAGGTGTGAGAGGTCTGAAAGAAAGGAGTGAACACCCTCTTTTACAGATTCTTTAGTCAGTTCCTAAAATGACCCTTTCCCACAAGCACCCAATCTGTTGGCTATTTCTTGCATTAAATTGGGAGATGGTCCTCTGTATCTCTGCTCAAACTACTCTAGATACCCAGATTCCTGCCTTTTGCCAGGATACCAGTTCACTTCAGTTCCATGTATAAGACTTGGCTCAAAGCTCCTCCTTCAAAGATCTGATTAATTTTGCCAGATTCTGAGGACTTCTCTTTAGATAGTCCCTCATACACTTAGTGGTTCATCAGAGATGACCCAGCTCTGGGGCAGTGCCTGGAGCCCTGGACTTGGACTCTGAAGATCTGGATTCAAATCCTGACTCTGCTACAAGTTAATTAGCTGAAACTTTTGGGGGAAGTCACCAGTTTCTTTATCTGTAAAGTATTCATAACTATACTTTGAAGGGTTCATGTAAGATTTGTGTGTGAGATTATAAGAAAGCTATACATGTGGTATAAAATTTTACACTTGTGAATAGGTTGCTCTACAAGCAAAGCCTGTGTGTGTGTGTGTGTGTGTGCGTGCACGCGCGTGCGTGTGTGTGTGTGCGTGCGCGCGCGTGTGTGT